GGATAGAAGGAAAAAGAAAAAAACATATTTGGTGTACAGGCTAGCTTGCCGAAAGTCGAAAGCGGGATAAAACATCGTCCCGCAAGCAGGTCGGCGGGACAACAGGACACCAGCCGCAGAACTGGGACATTCCCAGCCTAAATTTGAACGACTGGTCAATTTAGCCATAACTCAAGCCCACGATGACCGGCGCTCTTCGCCCAATGGTAGGTGATCGCTCCTTTGGCGGAAAATGTGAACTACAGGAACAGCACACCTACAGGTCAAGCTCGCCCAGTTTTCCCAGCTTAACAAAAGGACCCTAAACTAGGGGAAATCTTTCGTTGAAACCGGCAACGAGCAAGTCAAACGTGCACCTTGCGCTCGCGCTCTGTAGTGCAGTAGCACGATTTCAAGGTTATCACACGAACGTCGACCGGCCTAGCATTCGAGGAACCTACCGGCGCGTTTCAGTGAAGAAAAATTCAAGACTACGCATTCTTCTTTTTCGTTGGTTCAATTCTACAACAATCACCGTTACAACAAACTCTGCGCGTTTTCTTTTTTATTATTTTCATTCGTTATCTTCAAGTGTAACACTTTGTTGGCTCTTCTCTCCGCGGCCGTTATAGCGAAATCCATTAGAAATGTACATGGTAAAACGGATGCTTGTCAGGGAAAAGAAAATGCAGCTTCCTCAGACGGGAGTGATCGCCGCTTAAGGAAAATTTCAAAGAATCGAGTGACGCTGGCGTGATACTTCTCTTGCCTCGAAAGCGTATTCTTGGTCATGGCTCTGTAGTGCCTCTGAATCACGCTCGACAGTACAGCCACTAGAGACGGAGGTCAGCTGAGAATGTGGCTGGAGAAGAGGGATGGTGGTGGTAGTGGTTAGAATGCGCGTAATTTCTGCAGCCCGGTAAGGAGCACGATGCAGCGATTGATGGGTATCGAGAGGAAACTATTGGATATTAGCCCCGAGAAGTTTGAGTGGCGCCGCCTGGTGGGAGGTTTGCAGGACGTCGTGGCCCGGACTCTTCGAATCTTGCTATGGCGCGCGTATACATAGCACGCGCTCGCTTCGAACGCCGTTGTGCTGCCAGCGTTCACTTTTTGCTTGTCTCGCGCTTAAAATAAATGACAGAAGCTGCATGGATGATGTCCCTGGTAAAACAATGAAATATTTTTTTTATTTACAGTAGTCACCAACGGTGCCTGCTCTCCAGCGTACACACTTCGATAATGTTTGTTATGGTGTCGCGCTACTTACTTAGAAAATGGGTTCCATTCTTGGCCATGGTAGCCGCACTCTGACGGGGTAAGCATAAAGACAATACATGTGCAGCAGGTTAAAAAACGTATATGAACACGTACTTGCATTTAAGGTTGCGCTGTTCACGGGCAATTCCTTTAAAAAGATTTGATTGTTTCGCCTTCACAATCAATTGGTATATGCATCGTACGCATCAGGGTATTTTATGGTAGCTTCTTTTTTTTCCCCTGAGGGTGCATGCTTAGGTTAGTATCGAGTGTCGCAAAATATCGTGAATGCGCCTGCCCGAAAACTACGCCGCCACTGTTACGTTTGATTTTCTTGTGCGTAGTTGCTCATATTTCATCACGTTATTTAGCTTCATGTTTCTGGGAATAATTTCCGTGCTCCGTTTCACTAGAAAAGAAGTCGAGCTTAGTTTCAGAAACTGCTACTGATTTCAGATAATATCTAGGTGCAACATCCTAGCAACTGTGCTGTCCCGCTTGTATAGTACCAGTTTAGATAGCCACCTGATGAATAAATTTTTTTCCATGGTTAATTACTCCAGAACAGCATCAATCTGTATATGAACAGGACGTGCGAGACCAATCGTTGCTTCACTAAGGCAAAGGGCGTTTCACTATCACGTGGTCCACGAAGCGGCGTGCGCCACCGAAACAGTTCATTTCGACCTTCTGGCATTTTTTTTTTGCAAATGATTGCTATCAGAAGTGCTCCTGCGCGAAGTGAACATTACCGTTTATGACGTGATGGTAGATCGAGTCAGCTGTTCGCGTAAACCAGGGTATGTGACTACGTAATCCTGGCGAATGTTGATAAGATATCTGTACATGAGGTCCGAGTATGAAGACTTTTCAGAATTCCGCAAACCATTCTGTGGTGTGCCGCGTGACTTTTTTTCTCACTATTATAGGTGATTGTGTATGAAAGACAGATCCATCAAAAGTCTCTTCCACCCCAAAGCGCAATTCTGTCTAATTAGCTGCATTATTTGCTGAGGCAGACATAACTTGCACGGTAAATCGCAATGCTGTGATTAAACTGAAAACGTCCTAAATTCATTCATAATACCCATTTAGCACGAATGTTTTCTTAGCATTGATTTCATCGAGTACGTGCATGGCGAAGACAACTAATGTCTCGCTGTCCTGCGCCTTTATTTTCAAAATGTATGCATACTTTCTGCAGGTTAGTTAGCTTTTAACAGCAATAAATACCTTTACTTCGTACCTTTATAATCTGCTACTAGATATTGAGAAGAAATTGCCACCGTATTGCTGAAGAGCGGGTAACACGGCGGGCTTGGAGAGAAGTGACCATCGGCATACGTCAGCGACGGAGCAGGCGAGTCCGTGCGGTGACGTCACTTCGCCGTGACTGCAGTGACGCCACTGTTTGTTCTCGAGGCTAGTAGTGTTCAAAACTAAACAGGTGTTTCACAAAAGTCTGTAATTCTCGCCAGCGCGCCTCTTCGTCGAAGGAAGGGGGCCTTTGTATTGGGAAAGGACTTCCAGGCACTGACCACTTAGAACGGCGCTGGCGGGCCTTCCCTGCATATGTACCCAAAAGGGGCACGTATGTGTTCGGGGAAAATGATCTCAAGGGGAATGCGTACGCCCTGAAGACAATTTGACTGTGTTTGCCGTTGACGTAGCACAAGCGAAGGAGGCTGTCATCGGTGCCACGAGTCTCACGTAGGCGGTGATTACGGAGTGTCGCGGGCAACGTATTTAGACGGCTGCGACACCGGGACCCTCGCCGCCTACCAAGCCAGAGAGAACTTCAGCGGCACCCCATCCACTCCCTTAGGTGAACCACGAACAGGTCCTGTTTCGTACGGAACTTACTAGATGCGAAGCAGCTCTTTGACTAGCCTGTGTACTTTGTCCCTCCGCCCACACCGCGCTCCCCTAACCGCAGGTGTTGGGGTGGTGCCAAGTAGGTCACGCCTTTTCTCGCAGTGCGCACGCAATGACGTCACTATATCCCTAGCCTATCGACATTCATCCCGTGTCATCTCGCTCGCTTCACCTTTTCCACCACTCGAAATGTTTGAGCACAGATCGAGTGGAAACACCCTTCGGGTTCGTTTATCTGTCATGAAATTTGCACAAAACCCAACCCGCCTCCCATGTCTTTGAGTTTTCAAGAAACATTTACTTGAGTAAAGGCTACACCGAGTTTCACTTTAAACCGTTCTTCCAGCACCCGCGTCGACATACGTTATAGTGGGGTCGACAGCGTGCACAGCGCTGCTACTTTCCATCCCATTATGGTTCCCTTCCGGGATTGATTGATTGTTTCATATGTTGGGTTTAACGTCGCAAAATCACCATATGATTATGAGAGACGCCGTAGTGGAGGGCTCGGGAAATTTCGACCACCTGGGGCCCTTCCAAGAGATGGTCTATACTTTTTATTATAGTTTTTCGCGACCGTTATTTTATTAACCACATTTTTTAAACACTTTTTTAGTGCTCTGCGCCACTCGAGCAGTCAAGATTCCAGAGCACAATTTTTTAGTAATATTTGTTTGTTTTTTGTTTTATTCATGCCCGCTTACTTTATTATATTCTGCGTTGTTTTTATATTTTATTTGTAATGTTTTACATAGTTAGCTTTGCAGTTAGTTCATATCTATCAGGCGAATTTTCACGTTTTTTTCTTAGTTTATTTATGTTATCTCTTGCCGTTGTTCATACTTCATTGAAGTGCTTGCTTGTGTTTAATCAAATGTCCGTGTCCGCTCTATGAGTCTGTAGGACCGACCCAAACCACACAATGCGTGCAACCCCGCACGGGGTGACCGACCTACACAAATTTTATATATATACCACTTCGAGGTCTTTCAGGCGTCGCAGGCCTAAACGTAAAGTGGAAGCCTGTGATTCTGTGGCACGCTGGTGTTATATCGGTGGGGCCTCACCCGGAGTGTGGGACAAGGTGTGTCCAGCCACCGTATCGGCGCTTTACTGCTGTAAGGAGTTCCGTATACTAATTGCTTTCATCGTTGACCGAATCTTCATTTTCTTGTCGGCGTTGCACTTTACAATCTACCCGAGAAAGCAATGAACAAGAGTCAGGCAAATTATTATTTCCGCCGTTCTTGAGAGGAGGTGATCAGTTACTATAATGCGCCTAATATAAACATAGATAAAAAGAATAATTGAGGTAATTCACCGCGGTGGATCAGTTGTTGTGGTGCTCCGCTGATGAACCGTAGGTTGTGGGTTCCATTCCGGCCGTGGCGGTCAGATTTCGATGGAGGCGAAATGGTTGAAGCTCGTGTATTGTGCGATGCCAGTGCAGGTTAAAGAACTCCAGAAAGTCGAAATTTCTGGAGCCCTCCACTACGGCGTCTCTCATGATCATATAGTGGTTTTGGGACGTAAAGCCCCCAATATTATCAACAATTAGGGTAATGCATCGTGCGCCCTTAAGCGCCTGCTTCCCCGTGTTCAATGGTGTAGAAAAGTGTGGTCGCAAATAAACGCCCTTAGAATAGAAAGTATGTGTGTACTGCTTTCATGCGATCAAGAAGTATATTCCCCTCCTCGGATAGGGAAAAATTATGGACTTCAGTAAAATAGAAAGAGACAAAAGCGTCATACTACGCTAAAGTGTCACGTAGGCACTTCAATGTCTTTAGATAGACTGCGCTATTGAGAATGTTATATTGCAATTTGTGGTTAAAGAAAACGAAATTGTATCAACACGGTGAATAACATGCATTCACGCTGTACAGATGACTACGGAGATTCTAGTGACCCCGGCCGAAGAAGAGCCCTTGACATGCCAACAGCTGCGAGAAGACGAGAGTCGGCATTTCTCAGACTCTATTACCAACACACCGCCGCAGCAAATTGTGTGCAGCAATAGCAGTTACGTGGGCATCCACTCTGGTGCCTTCCTGGACATGCACAGCCCTATGGAGGTCTCCACGTCGGTGGTGCTCAACTTCTGCCGCAAGAACGTGCTCCGCCACTACTTCCGGCTCCTCGCCGTCGTCGGCTGGCTTCCCCTAGTGGATGCCAGCGAGCCTGCACACTGCCAGCCCGCGCTCCAGACACTCAATGTCATGTACAACCTGGTAGTCTTTGTCGTGCTCTTTATGGGGCAGATGCTACAGTACGCGTCCTGCTTTCGTAGAGACGGCATCATGAACTACAGGTCATCGGCGCTCCACTTCAACACCCTCAAGCACTTCGGATGGGTCGAAGGAAGTGACGCGGTAATTATGACTGCCTTCACCAGAATTCCTAACGAGTAGGATTTCCTTGTGGCTAATGCAACAAGACTATTTTGAGAAGTGCAGTCGTATAGCTGTTCTGAAATAAATAGTTGTGTGGTAAAGATCAGAAGGGCGTTACAGGGTGTCCCGTACTGATGGTGATTGTGCCTTATTTTGATATATAGGCAAAGCAAGTCCCGAAAAATCTGCAGTCTATTCTGCTACTGTCAGGTCGTGACATCATATCCCTGCAGATGCGACCGCATTTTCGATGGAGGCGGAAATGCTTGAGGCCCATGTGCCTGGATTTAGGTGCACGTTAAAGAACCCCAGGGATCACAATTTCCGAAGCCCTTGCCTACGGCGTTTCTCATAATCATATGGTGGTTTTGGGACGTTAAACCACAACAAAAGAAAAAAAACTCGTGTGTGTGTGAAAAAAAATGTAATGAGAGAAAGCTGATAAAGTACAAAGTGATGGCAGCACAACAGAGCAGTCAAAAATGTGAAATAAAGGTGTGCTATAAAGTGACAGCTTCATTGAAATTAAGCTTGTCGAAAAATAGACTTCAGGGGGAGGGGAGAACACGGAGAAAGCACTTTTTAAGGGTCTACAACAAAAGCACAACCTTGTTTGCAGGTACAAAATGCCTGGATTATTTTGCTGAACAATGATAGGGCTAAACGAGATAATATATACGTAAGGAAAACCAATATTGCAAAATTTTAGTATTCACAACATCGCAGCGAGATAACATACTCGCCACAGTGCTCTCTTTTTGATCCACAGTACACATCACTCAATAACCGATGTTATTTGTGAGCAATAAAGTCGCGGAACTTCTTATTACTCAACAAATTGTTCGCCCAGCCTGATTCTTTTCGTTGCAGACATGTGGCGGCAGCTGGTTCGCTGTGTACGTTCTACCATCGGCAATGCAGATATCTGCGTACGTAATCGCCTTGGTGCATATGCGCTCGAGCGAGTACGAACAGTTCCAAGCACTCGTGGAAAAGGTGTTCCTGCAACTGACCACCAGTGGCGTCTGGAACGTTGCCAGGAAGCGCATCACTCGTCGTCTGCACGCCGTCTACGCCGCCGGAGTGTTCTGGATCCTCTGCTCGTTGGCGTCGCAGTTGCTCAACATTTACGCCGGCGGCACGCTAAACTTCCAGTGGATCTACGTCTCCGAGGCCGACGAGGAGGTTCACTACTTCCTCCTTGCGGCACTCGTGCTGATGCTTATGTTCCACGACGTCGTGAGCATGACCCTCGCCACGAGCTACGCTATCCATTGCCAGCTGGTGCTCGTCTACCTGCAGAACATGTCGCAAGCCGTGCGCGAGAAGCGGACGACGTTGCTCGAGTTCTACCGCGGCATCGGGGAGGCCCGCAAGAGCGTCCGCTTCCTCAACCAAAGGCACGCGCTCGCTGTGACCGTGCAGACAATGTGGGTCGCCTCCAGGACGGTGGTCTGCTTCTACGCCCTGCTGAGCACACCATGGACGCAGTGGCAGCGCTTCGCGGCTGCCTGGCTTAACGTGGCCGTATGGTTCTCGCTCCTGCTCATTCCCCTGGTGCAGGCGAGCCGACTCAGCTCCGAGTGCAACCACGTCCGCGAAGTTGGGCTGGAGATAATGGCGAGGCCTTTTGGCTACGCCAATGTGCCATCGTCTGATCTGGACACGTTTCTTCTCTTTACGTCCTCGCTGCGAATGCAGGCCAAGCTCTGCGCCCTACCCGTGACCAAACGCACGGTCGTATTTGTGTTCCTGCTTATAGGACTCAGCTTGTTCATGTCCGTGCAGCTTGACATCGTTCATTTCAGGCCCTAGGTGATTATTCAAAGCCTTGAGTCACTGTCTGGTAACTTAAAAATGTTTTATTTTTCTTGTTTCTTTCTTTTTGCATGCGGTAAAGAAAAAGCTAACGTTTTTTTTTGTGTGTGTGTCTCCAAGAAAATTTACAATTCCTTGCGTATGAATTTCTGTAGCCAGCTGTCTGCTTATAGAGTGTTACTAAAGCTGCGTTCCCAGTCATTTTACTTATTACTATATAAATACCACACTTCGCTACAGTGTGTATACATGCTCTGATTTCATATCAGTTAAAACATTAGCTCAGGTGACGTGCATATATAGTAGAATGTTGCCTCAGGTGGCGTTATATTTTCGAAAGCATCCATATTGGGAGTTTCTGACATCAGAACGTATATGTATTGGTGTATTTTTGCTCATAACTATAAAAACTATTCCTCGCAGAGCACTATCCCTGCAAGCATGTCTTGTCAAACGACAAATCAAAAGCGGTAACAAATCGTTTAACCAACGCAATGTTGCAGAGGAGAAATGACGCCATCGGCATGCCCCTGAAGCCTTAAGCAACATCGTCTAGAGTTGGATTCTTTCCGTTTCGGTTACCAGCAAATAATGCTAATCATTCTTTTATTGACTGTCTGTTTTATTCTGGAAATTTTATGTCGGCATTGTTGATTTTATGAGATTAAATAAAAATTTAACCCAGAACTTTCATAAAAATTGCACACACACACGACATGTATATATATATATATATATATATATATATATATATATGTATATATATATATATGTATATATATATATATATATATAACTTACCTTTTCTCCGTCTTGACCTTCGAGCTTTGTTCGCCGTCTACGGAGGTCGTAATGTTCACTTTATTATCATAACCATCACTGGTACCTGTGAACTGAAGTGAATCTAATATTAAAGTTTATACAGTAAACACTGTAGGCACACTTTATTGAGATTAATTTGACAATCTGGAGCCATTTAACATGCACCTCAAAACAAATCACACGGGTGTGTATGTCCTTTCTTTACTTTATCGCAACGTAGCCGCAGTTAACGAGAATCGAACAATTTTACTTTGAATGTTGCGGCTGTATTTGATATTAAAGTTTGTTTCCTGTAACAGACGTGAAATAAATATAACCAGCGTTGCCATTTACAAAGATACACAGGATCCCCCGACCTACTGCCCTTCTTTCGTTCATCACAGTAGTAGTGACATACGCCGATGCTGAGTCCCAGCCAATTCGATGTTTTTCTTGGCTTCGGCGAATTATTTACGGCTGTAGTTGAACGCAAAAATTCCTGTAGCACAGCTGTGCTGCCACTGTGTAGATTCCATTCCTTTGTATTAGTTAAACATCACTGATGCGAATCTCGCAGTACCACCAAAATATTTGTATCGTCCAAAATTCGTATCTCCTGAAAGTATGAAATGTCAGCATGCGGCAAAAGAAAGCTGGCGTAAGTTTTCATTATATTTTTTCAGTAAAGCAGCAAAGCCTTGACCAGCTTTTAATAATTGCCAGTGAAATACATGGACCACAACGATCGTACCTGCACTCCTAAATATGTGGTTCGAGCACACGTGTGTAAATAATGAACCAGGTACGTTGTGAACCTCGGCAGCTAGTAGCTCCTTCGAAATCTTAATATTTGTTTCCGCATTACAATAAAGTGCTGCAGTGAAAGAAGACTTAAAAAGCCCTTTGACACAATAGACAAAGGCCAGAAATTTTTAGGAAGGAGAACCACGTTCTTTAGCGATTTTCTTGCCATGGTGTTATTGGGGGTTGTCCTTCGAGATATTTACGGTCTGTCCTGCACAAGTACATCCCTAAGAGTCCTGTATGTTGACGTTGTGACTCTGAACAGAACAAAAAGCGAGACACAATATTTTTGAGGGAAGAAAACGTTACCAAAACATTATGTGCTGTTTAGTTTAGGAGTGACACCGAAATTATATATATATATATATATATATATATATATATATATATATATATATATGAAAGTGTAAATTGTGAATTGTGTTGTTATATATACATTATAGTGTATACAATATTGTAGGGGACATGATATTGCTGGGATGGCATTACGTTATATTATTTATGCGTGGCATTTACTTACCTTGTTTTTTGTCGATACGGCCAGTCAACGTTTACATTTTTACACCTGTAGTAGCAGGCAAAACCACGTGACTGCTGTAAGGCAATTGAGTACACAGTCCTTCGTTGCAGCAAGCACCGGTGCCTATTTGTTCACCATGCACAGTGTAAAAAAGAGGCAGTAATAGATGACAGAATCAAATGACAGACTGCCAGTATACAAGCACGCTGGAGTACTACCGAGATTCGCCAGTGCCTGTGGAACGGCTAACATCAAAAGACCAAAACGGATGGCTTGACCTATAGACTGGAAAGCCTAAAGGTGAGCGCACGAGCTAGAGGCATAACAAAACAAAAAAAAACGATGGACCATCTCTCCGAAGGGAACGCTGATGAAATGCGAAGCAGTAGCGGTGCGCACAGCGTTGACCTGGTTGATACGGTTGTTGACGGGGGTTCTAGAAAAACTGTTTTAAGCAAAACTCTGTGTAGCGCTTACTCGAGCAAACTTTTGTTTGAAACGCAAAGACACGGGAGGCGGGATGCATTTAAGACGCTTGCGCTCGGCTCCTTGGCTGGCGTCTCGTCGGTGTTATCCGCATGCCTTCTGTATTCTCGAACGCGATCGGTGTTCTTGACTCGCACATTGTTGGTGTCGCTGGTCTCCCACTGCCGACGCTTGCGTTGAGCTTCCCTGGCTCGCACCTCATCGGTGTTGACGTCGTCATTCTTGAACGCGGTCGGCTTGGCTAACCCTCGCAACGCCGGTGACAATTAGGAAAAGTACGTGCACACTAGGGGGAAGCATGCCGCGATGGCGCCCCACCTGTCGGCGCGATTGCGCGGCAAGCAACGACGCGCTGTCCACATTCGTCCGCGCAGCGAGGTGCCGTTGTCAGATAGGAAGGACACGTGGCGCGAAGCACTTTGTCCCAGAATCTCTCGTAACTCATCAACCCATCATCATCCGTACGTCTGTCCCGGCACTTCTCCACGAAGGGTCGTGGGAGGGGGTTTTGTTTCGGGCAGACGGCCGTACCCTGACAAAAAGGCCGCCGCTCGGCGCCAAACAGACACGGGCTGCACCCCGGCATACAAGCCAGGGAGGCCCAACATAGGGTATACCCTTCGGTGTGGTAACTTCAATCACAACACGCAAAGCGGACGTATGCCCCACGCACTGCGGCCATGGCTTGTCTCGTGACCGCCCAGCGAGACACAATCGGTCCCTTGGGGGCTGTGGGACTACTGTTTGGTGCAGAATCGAATGCCGCTGCACGCGAACCCAACGTACCCTGGTAAACCAGCACGGCTAAAGGCCGGCTTAGCCCTTCGCGAAGAAGGGAGCCACCCTCCGCCTTGGCGAGTAGAGTCGCCGAGCATGGAGAAGGGGCCAAAGCGGACCTTGCGGCTAAAGCCCGACGAGGTGACATAATCACCGTAGCACGTGCATAACTCACGCGAACAACCACACAAACTAAACTCGGGGGCGACCAGCTGACTAGGCCGAGTCGTGAAACTTTAGAGAACGCCATCATTAAAAATTGATGGTTATCTGCCTTCCTGACTCACTGAAAATCACTGCCGGACGGTGCCACATCTCATAGAGCATTTTTGCACCTAGGCACTGCTACTCTCGGTGGAGAACGAACCAGACCTCCTTTCGTACTTTTGCAACTACTTCGTGAACCTCGGCTTACCTCCCACCAAAAATGACGCAACACCGTGCCACCCACACTTGGTAGGAGCGCTCAACGTGCAGAAGCACGAACTGCTTAACCGCTTGTCCCAACAGGGGATGCAAAAAAAATGAACGGTGTTGACAGGAACACGGGGGTGACCAAACAAGGTAGCTACGTTTCGATGGAGGGCACCTGGTAGTGCAGACTGAAAGAACATGTGCACCAGGTCCTCGATACTACCACAAAGAGGCACTTTTCTCGTTTAGAAATTTTCGTGAAGGGCCTGAAAGCTATGGGCAGGTGCCCTCTGGCCAGGTGGTACATGAATAGAGCGCGCTTGGCGTCCAGGCCACTGTCAGCAATAAGGCGGCAGTTAGAATTACGGTTGGACAGGTCAAATGTCCTAAAGAATGTAGGTAACTCAGGGTAACTCCACCAGTTAGTGTATTAACTAACTGGTGGAGTTCGATTGAAGCTAAATCTACCTCGGGGTCAACCTCTTGGAGGCAGGCCAAAGTAGAAGTGGCCCCTGCATAGAAGGCAGAAGGCGTTCCCGCCCAAGGCACCGAATTAGAAAAGGCCTCAGGCGAGAACACCTCAGCCACGTGCTCGGGAAATACGACGCAAAGCTTCGAGTAAGGAGCATATCCGTATCAAGCATACCCGTATCCATCTAACGCGTCACGCCATCGTCACAACGCTCAGGCCAGGAATACCGAGTCCTCCTTCATCCCTGCGCAACTTCAGCACGGAGCACGACACAAACAGAGATGCATGGCTCTGAAAAAACCGACAAGTTTTTTTTTCAGGAGAATCCTGTCGATAAACTTTTCCCTAGCTAAGCGCCGGTTTTCGGAAGTCAGGCCATCCGGTTCGAAATGGAAACCCAATATGCGTAGGTGCTCCTTAATGAGGAGGCCGTGCATGGTACGTGGGCTGGGGGGAGCGCTGTTCAAATACATGACTGCGCACTTCGACTTATTTATCTTGGCGCCACTCACTGAGCAGTACCCCTCAATCACATCCAAGACGGTGCAAACAGTTGCCTCCTCCGGGACGACAATAGATAGGGCATCTGCATAAGTTCTCGAGGCACGCGCAGCGCAAGCACCCGCCGGCTCACGGCTTCTTGCCGACAGATGGAGAAAGGTGGCGTGGGTGAGATAATGCTAGGGTGTACTAGAAGTGTTGAGTGGCATGACCGCGCCTCGCCGTCTGATCCCTTCCACGTTGCCCGCAGCGGCAGCGCTGCAGTCGGATAGTACTGAAAGAGCCGCGCGCCGCGTGCAGTAACTGCTACATGCTTCGGCTCCTCCACCACGATTTCTTGATGCAGATTTCTTCGCACCTGTCCATCATTTATGTCTAGCACATGATGCCATAGTCCTTGAAGTATGACACGCCCATCTACTGAATTTGAGCTCCATAAAAGCCTTTTTGAGAGATAGAAAATAATTCAGAAAGGGTGTGTCTTATACTGATTTCTTCTTTCTTAACTCTTTTTTCGTTGGTTAGGCGTGTACAATATTCAGAAAAACTGAGCTGATTTATTCGAAGTTGGCTGTGCTCAGAAAGCTGTGAGAAAAAAAGACAAATACTGTGTCACACGCACACAGAACAAGAAAGCCACAAGGAATTAGGGGAGAGAAAGGGAATCTGAACCCCCTAAACCCCCTAAACCCCCTAAACCATGAACTGTTTTGGTAATTTAACATTGAAGGGTATACTATAATAGTTACAGGCGTTCACAGCGACCACCAATTGCCAAAGTTAGGTGTTCGGCTGCACACCACACCCCCTTAAAAAAAAGGAAATCCTGGGTAGCCCTGCACCAATAGTGTATAGTTGGCAAAGCGGAACATAGCGTGTCTCCACAAATGCGCGCTGTAGCTTTCACCTTTTCGTCGA